TTAAATAAAAGAAAGGAAAATAGGAAACAAATGCTAAAATTTCTCCTCTTCTCTACTTATATTTTCGCCACTGTAGTTTCATTGAACCAAGAAGTACCAATGGGCTATTATTATTTCATGTGTGCTTGGGAATGTGTGTGCATGCATGTATGTTGGCTTCACACACATATGTTAATGCGAAAGCAATCAAAACAATCCATAAATCATGCATAGTTAGGTACATAAATACCTATTTGAAAAACAATACGCACACAATATTTAGTAAGGTAAGGTATCATTACAGCTGCCGGAAATAGCTCGAATCGCCATAGTGCACTACCATGGCTAATTTTATGTTTAAATGGAATTTGCAGAAGAAAAGAAACCCAACGCGTAATCAACCGCACTATATACATATAAACAAATGGTGCGAATTGAATTAATCGATTTTTTTTTTGTTTTGTTAATAGCATAGCACAAGGATTTGTTTATTGTGGGCACTGAGCCATTTTTGATTAATGAACTTATTAAACTTTTGTTCTTTGTGAATAATTACGCTTATTCAGTTTGAGTGCCGACATATACATAGCAGGTCATACATACATATGTATAAGATAATCGAATTCAATTTTCCTAACACTTCCATTTGTTTGGCGCTGTAACTGCCTGAGCGATTTGGACCAAGTCGAATAAGTGAACCAGCCATTCGTTAGCATACCATAGCCAGCAATTGTATGCTTTAGCAAAAGTATTGTACCTGAGTAGCTCAGTACTGTGGCTCTTATAATTTTCTTCAATATCAGATTAAAGAAATCACACGAAAGAAAGTCACCCTCTCTGAAACCACGGAAAGGTCCTTCCCAATTCTGACGGAGCTGGTGGCCTTACTCATTGTCATTTTACACAGCCGAATCTGTTTCGCGGGGATACCAAATTCACACATCGCGGCATGTAAACAACTCCTCTTAGTGCTGTCGAAAGCGGCTTTGAGTGTTGATCCCTTTGTCGTGAGTCTTTTCCAAGGTTTGGCCGGTGATCGGCGACGCAGTCTTTCTCCAACCACGAATCCAAGACCGAATTTGCACTCCTTTACGTGGCAACTGTAGAGACGTCGCAAGGTTTCATGCTTACCTTGCCTTGTCCCCACGATCGCATTTCTTGGATGGATGATGTCAGCCTTTGTCAAGGGGCCGGACTAAACATACAGATTACTCCTATATCGATTTATTCTAACATATACCTCCCATGCAAACTTAACCCCAAAAACGCCTTAAAAATACCATAACTGCCATCAGTACTATATGAGGTTACGTTAAAATTCGCAAATATGTGCCAATTTTTTTCTGAAATAGTAGGAAGGCGAAGAAAGGTTAAGTTTTCGTCCATCAAAAGTGTCAATGTTAGCATTTGTAAAGTGTAATTTTTTTCTCTAATCTGTCTACTAAGTAGGTGCTACATTTTCATATCAACCTACAACAAAAACAATAAAAACAACGTTACAAAAATAGCACATTACCTAAATGAACAAAAATCTCAATTAATTTTTAATAAAAATTTAATTTTCAAAAAATTGTATATTTCGCGTCGAAGCACCACTGTGCAGCGCCTTGAACACATTTACTAAACACTTTCTTATCGCAAACATTTTTCTCTTTCTCTTTTCAGTTACAACGTCTATTACTTTTCACGCTTCTATATGGTCGGGCCATTGCCCAGGACTATCAAGACTACCAGGAGAACACCCCGCGTCCTGCACCAATAAGACTGCGTCCCAACGCTGGTTTGGCAGATGCCCCGCGGCCCACACCCGTGCCCATTCTGAAACAAATCAATAAGTAAGTTAACCGAAAAGCAGTAAATTTCGAGAAAATCCTGATTTATTTTTCAACTCTGCAGACACAATGAAGACGGTTCCTACACTTATGGTTATGAGGGCGCAGATGGTTCATTCAAAATCGAAACAAAGCTGGCGACCGGTGAAGTGAAGGGCAAATATGGTTATGTGGATGAAACCGGCAAGGTGCGCGTCGTGGAATATGGCGCAAATCAATATGGCTTCCAGCCATCTGGTGAAGGTATCACTGTAGCGCCACCCACGCTAGTGGATGAAACAGCAAAGGAGGAGCCAGACTATGAAGATGAACCTGTGCGTCCACAGCGTCCTTATGTAAGTGAGAATACAAACGCAATGTAGTTTAACTTTAGCTATCCTCAAACTTTCTACATATTACAGCGTCCACCACGCCCGCAGCAACCGCGTCCTGCACCTGCACCTGCACCACGTCCACAGCCACAGCCACAGCCGCAGCCACAATACTTCCAATATGAAGAGGAAGTTGAGCAGGAACCAGAGCCACCACGCCGCATTCAATATGCACCACAGCCACAGCAAATTTCCGCCGGCCCAGCGCCACCAAGAATACAAGTGCCAGGTGCGCAACGTTCCACCGACGTCTTATATTCACCACTACAACGTCCAGCACGCCCTGAACCGGATTATTCACAAACACAGGTATGCGGGCGCATACTATCTCTGGTTACGAAATTTTTCAATTAATTTTTTCATTTATTTTTCATACGCACAGAACTTTGGCGGTGGCCCATCAAATGTACGCATCTCCCGACCCGTCTATGCACCCGCACCGGTACAACCTGCCCCCGCCAGTGCACGCGCTAACAACTTCTTAGGTCCGCCATCCGGTGGTCGTCCCATATTGGATCAGTTTGGACCAGCGCCGCAGACACGTCCGGTGCAACAGGCCGCACCAGCGCCGCTACCCCGCTATCAACCACAGATCAATCATCAACCGCAGGCGCAGGGACGCGCTGGTGGCGGTGGTGGCAGTTTGTTGGATCAATTAGCGCGAGATTATGCTCTACCACAAGGCAATTCCCAGCCTTTGCATGATATTTCATTTGGTTACTATTGAGCGGATAGTCAACGTGGGCTTTTCGGAGTTTTGTAAATGTATGTGTATAGTATTTTAATAAAATCGAAAAACTGAGAATGTAAATCTTTGTAAAATTGCCAGTAAATGATTTCCAAGTTATGTGAATGAGAAAATCTTCTTGTCGATTTGTACTTAAAAAAAAAAAAAGTAAGTGCGCCTGGGCCACACTGTAGAAGTGAAACTTACGTTACTTATCTATCTATACATACACACATCAGCTTTTGCTTAAGGTTATATTTTTTTCGATTTTTTTCTATCAGTGTAGATCCCTACCTCTACCGGTGTTCGTTTTAATAACATTCATGTTATTCTGTTTTTCCATTATCTTCATTTTTATCTTCATACTCTATCGATATAACGTCCATCAAAATATCGATAATAAAATCGATGACAAATTCGACAAAGATCGATAACAAAATCGACAAAGATCGATAACAAAATCGATAAATATCGATAGCAAAATCGATAAATGTCGATAACAAAATCGATAAATATCGATAACAAAATCGATTTATATCAATAACAAAATCGATAATTATCGCTTAAGTCGATAAATAACGGTAACAAAATCGATGAATATCGATAACAAAATCGATAAATATCGATAACAAAACGGATAAAAATATCGATTATTTAATCGATAAGTCTCGACAATCTCTAAAATCCCAAAATAGTTCCCAGATTGAGTCTCTGTGTCTCTCTCTATACCCTTTCCTCCTTAATTACATTTATTTTAATCTTTCTTCCCCTATCTTCATCTTTACTTTTATCGGTATCCTCATCCTGATCTTTGTTTTTACTTTTATGTTTATCATTTTCTTCATCAACATATTCCCCTTCACCTTTGCCCTTATATATATAAGTAAAGTGTTTAAATTTACCTGGGTCTTCATTTTTTATTGGTCACTCATTATATGGACAAACCCGATTATCACATATGCAGCACTGGCCTAGTGGCCAAAAGTCAGGCAAAATGGTTATGGCGCTGGGGAAGTTTACTGATGAGTCTGTGCAGCCATTACAGGAGCCACGTGAATCTGCTCGGCAAAAGAACTGGTAATCTTTACTTCCATACTTATTGACAATGAGGCTTCCGGTGGCGCTTTGCGTTTCAGCAACTTAGTGAACACAAGGCTTATTGACTTTCATAAGCGCTTGTTGGTTTTAAAACCATTCTTTGAGGATCAAACCTTCAGATAAAATGCTACCGTAATTAGTCTTGAACAAGCCCTATAAGGTAAAGATTCTTGAAAGGGACACTGTCAGAGTGTGGTATACTGCTGGATGTGTGCTCGAAGTTGGCAATGCTGGTACCGGGGACGGACAGAACTAAAATTACTTGGGTCAGAACGGGGTTTATATGGTCCCAATAGAGTTATGTAGCCTTTCTGAGCTCCTAAGGGAAAAGGCACCCTGAAAGCATTATAACATCCTCTAGGACAATCGCGGAATGATTTCTGGATTTAAGTCGAGAGGGTTTCACGGACTACCTGACCTTGACTAACTTGAAGTTCTGCCTAAAATTAGGAACATGGCATCCTATAAAATGCCTAATTTCATAAATGCCCTAAGGATGGAGTAAATTTGTGTGAGGCCAGCTCACAAAACACTCAAAAAATTGGCTCAATAAAAATTTTGTCAAAATGTATTGGAAAATATCTAAACAATGAAAAAAAGAGTTCAAAGACATTTTGGTAAATTTTTTCTGTTTTTGTACTCTTTTTGGTACGCAAAAAAAGAAGTAAGTGGCAACCGTACCTGTGGTAAGTTCTTTTTACGAAAACTCTTTTTAATACGAGTACATATTTCCTCTTTTTAGTTTTCATGTTTACCTACATACATAGATATTTGATTTTTAAGATTGTTTGCTATTATAGCCACAGTGCGCCGTTGCAGAAGCTTTATCAGCAGCAAATACGATGGCCTTCAAACTGTTTTGATTCGTACACACGGTACGCTAAAGTAGTATGCGGCGAATATGTATTGCCTGCTTTTAGGCGCTAAAAGAAAAAACAATGCTGCCTTTTTATATATAGTATATTACAAATTACATCATTTATTGTACAAAATTTACGAACAATGAAGGAGCAATAAATGTAACTATTTTTTAAACAGAACAGCACAATATTAAAATAATAAATACTTAAACCAACAAAGATGCAAAAATACGTAAATAATCGAATTTAAAGGTTTTTCATAAAAGAAGGGACCCGACAGTCGGCTTCACATACACAGAGGCGAGCAGGGCAGAGGCGATTCGACATCAGGCTGTTGCGGTCCAGATTAACAGAAAGTTGCAGGCAAGCGAAGACATGACACCCACGTTATGTATCCTGGATTCCAGTTGTATATTGTTTATAAGATTTTCGTGTAATTCATTGGAACTTGAAACAGAGAATGCACTTTACTACTGATAGTAGAACTCTGTAAAGAAGATGACGTTTTAAAAAGAACTATTTATGTAAGTAAACGGGTTGTAAGAATTAGGTAAATGAAGCACTTAAAGAAGTGAGGTTTGGCTGAGGATAACGGAGCAAAAACTAAACTAAGTGCGGGAGTGAGATAGAAGGAGAATTTAGTGTGAAAGTGCAGAGTTGACGATAGGAGCCACAGATGTAAAATGGATGGGTGACATACGCAAATAAATGCCAATATTAATATAAATATTTTTTTTTATCAAAATCTCTTTGTAATTACATACTTTCAAATTAAGAAACTAGATGAATACACTCTATCGAATTATGCTGTTGTTAATACATACATATGTAGATATATTTTTGTTATTTTTTTCTTCTCAGACTTACTACTAATGACTGACGGTTTTATTGACAATAAAAATATTTGTTTCGATTATTATCGACTACTTTTCCGATAAATGCAAAGCCATTCATTCACTTAAACTACTTTACATGAAATTGTAGTGTAATTAAATAAATAAATAATAAATAAATAAATAAATAAATATATATAAGAAAAATGCAATTTGTAATGCTTTCGTTGTGCTCCTTTAACCCAGTGTGGGTGGGCCGATCGCTACGCCGTTTCACTCAAAACAACAACATTCGATTGAACATGAGCGGATCATTTATCTCGTAGTCGTGGTGTTTGAAGTACGGCCCCAGTTTGGACTGTACCTTGAGCGCTGTAATCGAAGAGCCCGACGGCACTTGACGTCGCACCTTGTAGGCAGACGAGGAGGAGGAGGACGAGGCGGAGGAAGATGACGCAGCCGGCGCATGTTGTACGGTAAGAGAAGGTGCCTGTTGAGCTGCATATGCGACAGAGTGTTGTTGTGCGGCGTACGTATGTGACGGCGCTGCTACCGCAGCTGATGGTGCGGAGCCGGACGCTATTGCCTGTGGTCGTTGTGGTGGTTGTGGTGGTGATGGTGGTGGTGGTGGCACATATGTTGGTCTATACTCATTATCAGCCTTATTTTGCGCTGGATCGAAGTATATATGCTTTGTTTTTTGCACAGAAGGTGGCAGATATTTGAATTGTTGATTGCTTGACTTAGCTGCCGTTCGCGGATCTACTTTGTAGACGCTCTTCTCAACGGCAAAATGTTTACTCACGTTAGCTTGTGTGGTACCTCGCCGTTTGGCCACCTCTAAAGCTGCAATAATGGGTGTCAGATCTTTCAACGCGCTGCTTGTTGCATGATAATTGTTGTAGTGATAACCGCCACCCTGATTGCCATTGCTAGCTGCTGGTGGATTCGTCGGCCGATAGTCATAACCCTCATTTGGGTGCTTTTGTATGTAAATCTCCTCCGCCGTTTGCTTCTTAGCCATTTGGCGGTAAATGTCCGCAGGATTTTCTGGCGCATTACCTGGACGCTGGCCATATGCTGCTGTTATGGACTCGGTGTGTGAAAGGGACTCCAGTGGTCCCAAATCATTCTGCAAGCCATATGTATGCAAGTCAGCGCTCTCATTCGTCAATTCAGCACCTGGGCCGGTGTGTGGCGAGTGGCTGTGTGTGTCCAGCACGACTGTTTTCGATGCGGTGAATTCTGTTTTGCCATTAGGCAGCAGGCTAAGGATTTCTTGTAGTTGCGCAGCAGCTTTGCGTGTATCCGCTTCGCTAAGTTTCTGATGGCGGCCATAAATGTTGAAGTCATCGTTTCCTGTAGGTTTTTGCGCACACCGATGAGTGTGGTTTTGTGTGGTGTGTATGTGTGCGTGGCGTTTGTGAATTAATGCGTTGCCGTTGTTGGTGTGATGTTGCAGTTTTGATTGTTTGTGTGATTTTATGGAAAACAGAAAGCATTAAAAACAAATTCAATTTTATTTCAGTACGAGTAGGTATTATTTTGTTGTGTAAAAATTTCATTTGCATGTTGTATGCAAGCTCTATATGTTTGTGAATACCTAGGAATGTGTGTATGTATGTATAAGTAAATTGCGTGCTTACTCACTCATGTTTTGGATGGAATTGTGATGGCCGATGGAGTATGAATAGAGTGAATAAGGGCCA